ATGTGTGGATTTCAACTTCCACTGGCTGGGGGATTCTGGGAGTTGGAAGTCCACACATCTTAAAGTTGCTGAGGTTGAGAAATACTGGTCCATATCAATGAAGTTGAGTTCTAATCTTTCGTCTGGTATGTGTTTCCTGACCTGGCCTACCTCGAAGAGCTGACTTCAATCTTGAAAGCCTGACAGCATTTCCCCTTCATCCTCCTTTTACCAAAGAGAATCAAGGTAGAGTCACCTTAAGTTTCTTTCTAACGCCTTCCTCAGTTCTCCTCTCAGCTGACTCTGATGAAATTATGGATTTTGCCTCCTCCAGTCTGTCTGGGTCAAAACTGGAACTTTGCAGTGGTGGAGAAGCTGGAAGCCTTACCGTTGGGTTGACGTGCAGGTGGCCCTTGAACAGTTCACTGCAAACGACGGGACACGGGACAGCATTCTCTTTGTCTACTACACACGCAATGAGGAAAAGAAGGTAGGCATGGCCAAGCAATTCACACACAACTCTTGAACCTAACACAAAGTACATGAGAAAGTAACCTGCCAGGACCATTGAACTCAGGACTTCTTTCCAGAATAAATCAAGGTCCTATTCCATTTTAGTCCATTCCTGGCTTGTTTTATATGAACCAGAAATCAAGATTTGAGAGTAAATGGTAGGTTGTTAAACAGGTTAACTAAAATATCTGGGGATTGCAATAGGCTTGTTTCCCAGTTGAATGAGAAGATTTTGTAAAGGCAGGACATCTAATTCCCCAGTTCTGATAAGCTGAGAAAAGGATGAAGTGAAATTGAATGCAGGACTTTTCCTCCTCCTGGCTGCATGGAAGAAGATGATGGGAGAATTGAATGAAGGAGACTAAAAATGGGTTCATACATTGTACTTAGCCAAGATATAATTTGCTAGAGTCTGATTTAGTGAATGGTGTGGACCTGCGTGTTCATGGTTTGTAGTTTATGGCTGACTTATTCAACAAATCACTGCCAGACTACCTTAGCACGGTGTGTAGATTCTGTCCAAGGTTTCACTTGGCCTGTTTTTTGCTTGAGCAGATAGCACTAAACCAGAGGTGATATCAGAATTAGGCAAAAATAAGTTTTTGAGCAGATGAAGGCAGTAGGAAAAGCCAAGCATTGCTAGACAGGACCATTGTAGACATATGTATCAGAGGTGACTTCCCATAGCACCAGGTTCACCCCTCTTCCTGCTCCGCTTTCTGGGTGGTGGAGACTCTTCCTTAGTCCCTGATGCTTCTGGACTGGGCTTAGTAGGTTCATCTGCTAGAGGAGTGTTTCTCAACCTTGGCAACTTTGAGACATGTGCACTTCAACCAACATGGAGTTGAAGTCCACGTGTCTTAAAGTTGCCAGGGTTGAGAAACACTGTGCTAGAGGCATCAACAGAATCAAGCTGGGTTTCAGTCCTGTGGTTGTGGCCATCCTGACTGTTTTGACCCCCCCTGTCGACACTCCTGCATTCAGCAGGGCTGTCTGGTTGCCCCTTCACCTTTCTACATGTATGGTCTGCATGTCCTGCCAGAAGACTAGAGGACAGGTGCTCATTCTTTGCAGGGGGACTGAGTGGATACAACCAGCCAGGGTTTCTC